GCAACAACAATTGCTGCGGACGCAGCTGAAGGCGAATTGACAACAACCGTTTAAAACACGTTGAAAACCATGATCTCACGTTGATCTCTTTAATAAATATTTTTACCAATAGAGGTTGTATTTTATGGGTATGTTACGGGCGATTCTGGAAAAAAATTTCAACACAAACTAAAAGATGAGATATGATTGATGATCCGCAGCTATAGAGTACATAGAGTCGTAATGTAAATGGGAGACCTGGCGTCATGTTCTGCTCGACGAGTTCCGAGCCCGGTGTGAGCCGAGTTCGGGTCACTCTTACATGTTCGATCTAAAATGGCGGTGTGGAATACGTGGTGATTCCTATCTTCTTTGTTTACATTGGATAGCCGGGTACCCGTGTATCGCAAACAATCGATTATGTATCGAAAAAGTGACCCGCGGCGTTACACAGGAGTCTCGGAATTCGGGACCTGGAAAATGCTTAAAAGTGCCAGTTCGCCCACTTACATTACGACTCTATGTACTCTATGTCCGCAGCCGGTGACAAGTTATACAATGATAAAACAAATTGCACAGCGGATAACAAGACTATAATTTTCACGTGAATATCACCAAAATATTTCGGCTGAAAAGTCAGCCCTCTTCAGTTGGATAAAACAATCAAAAATTGCAAAAATCTAAAAAAGTAGTACTCAGCTGTGCCTTTCAAAGCGAGAACAATACTGTTATGCGATTTTCTCTAGGGAGAGAAAAGTATCCTCTCGGGAGGAATTAGTATTCTCTCGGGATAGACAACTATTCTCTTGGGAGAAAAAATCGTTCTACCAGAAGAAAAACTATTTTCTCGGGAGGGCAAACTATTTTCTCCAGAGGAAAAACTATTTTCTCCAGAGGAAAAACTATTTCATGGTGAGAGAGAACTATTCTTTCGGGAGAGAAAACTATTCTCTCGGGAGGGAAAACTATTTTCCCGAAAGAGAGAATACTATTTTTCCGGGAGTGAAAACCATTCTCTCCGGAGAGAATTTATTGCCGGTTTTCAACGTGTTTTATACGGTTGTTTTCAGTTCGCCTTCAGCTGCGTCCGCAGCAATTGTTGTTACGAATAAATGTTGTGCGTGCTGATCTCAGCTCATTACATACTTGAATCAGGCTATACAGAATCGACTTGAAGACAAGTTTGACGCTTCCTTTTCAGGTTTGTACTGACAATCTAAAGACACCCTTGATACGTTCATGAAAATCCAACACATGTTTGAAAAAAGCTCTATTTACGGTTTCAATCCTCTTTAGATAAATGTATTTAGTCTACTATAACTAGTCTTTTTCTTTACAAAACAATTGAAGAGAACACATGTATTTGTTGAAAATTTCATGAAGTGTAACACACAGCATTAGAAGTATTGGGTAAGCTCTAAAATACAATGGTTGTATTTTTTACGAAGTTTTTTTTACGTGCCAAAATAAATGTTATAAGTGCCTCAAAACAATTCAACATAGTGTACTTATTTGCCCACGGAAAACAAGAAAACGATTTTTTTTCTTGAGCAGCTTTTCAAAATCTGCTCTCCTTATTTTTAAAAGCTGGATTTTCTGCACAGGGTAGCACTGCTTCCTCCCTAAAAATTTGTTGGTGAATTGTTATTTTCGTTTCGAAAACTAATCATCAGTTTAAGAAATTTGAATGTTACTAGCATACTGAGGTTAGCTCACAAATCTTCAAGTGGCAGTTTGACATTATTCACTTCGAAGAAAACTTGCAGACAGCACAGAGGTATATCCTTAAAAAAAAGCTGCTACTGCGCGAAAAATATTATCTGGCCAATCTCAAAAATTGAAGGAAAAAAGTTATTGTGAGAAGTCTATATTACCTTTCCGCATAGGTATGCCGAGTCAGAAAATCCTTCTGTGGGCAGACTAAACATTACTTGAAAGTTTCACGGAACATTTTTAACACAGGGTTGACCAAAGTTTTTTGTGAATGATGTCGAACAGCAGTTGAAAGTTGTTGGTAAATTTATTTAGGCGTCCTTCGGTTTCTCTACAGTCTTAAACAGTATGCAACATCGGAAATATAGTGTTGAATTCGTTTATATAGTTGTTATGCTGGTTGCGTATTCCCATTTTGAAGGAACTTTCGTTTAAGCCGCGTTTACTTGTTACCAAATCCACCTCTCCGTCCATCACTCCGAGTCGTAATTAATTTTTTTTCAACATAAAATACGCTTTATTTTAAAAATTACAGACTTTACACAGGCAATCAGAATTATTTACAGTACATCGTACAAAAATAAGCCTAAAAAATAATCATTTTTCCTAAAATATACCATGCTTTATCACAGAAACAAATTTCATTAACGACATGAAAGGTAACATCTAATTACAAGTCTCAAAATAATGTTTGATTAGGTTAACAGTAAAAAACGTAAAAAAATATCGCGTACATCTTACAATAAAATTTTCTATGATTTTTGTTTTTTTTTTAAAAAAAATTATTTGTGAGAACTACGTGATTAATTAAACATTCAACGGTTCAAATTATTGATCATTACCCACTAGAGGATTGGCTCCGGTAATATTTTGACTGATGACATTGTTCAGTCAAATTAGTATATTCCTCATGGATTATGGTGAATGTTTTTTCTGTGGCAGAAAAAGCTAATATGGGAAATAATCAACACATTCGGGTTATGATTGGCCATCATATGTTTCTTGAATTTTATCCTCTGGTAAGCAAAATCATTTCTCCATGACAAATTAATTAGTAATATCTCACTACAAGGTACTACGCACATGGTGGTGCGACTCACATGGTGACGCATGCTGCATGAACTTTCGCATAAAGTCAAATTTCCTCTAATAAATGAAGAATATCCCAGAAACCTTTGGGATGGTGGCGGCTCCTGATAATTCGTATTCATCTTTCATCGTAATCATCGTGCAGAAAAGTATTTTGGAAATTGGAGGGATTGGAACGCAGTGAATTCATTGAAGACATCAGACAGAATGACAAACGCAAGTTTGTTTTGGTTACGGAAGTGACTTACGACAATTTGACATGCATATTTCAAGAGGCACGAGTTATTTCAGTCCCAATGTCTGTAGCCAAGAAAAATAATAGCTTTCTGAAAGAGATGAGAGGGTATGTATACCGACGCAGAAGCAGAGCGTTCAATCATAGGCATGAGCCGTATCCATAGCATTCCTCATCGTGCATAATATTCGGCTCCTCATCCGAAAATCCTAAATCCTATATCTATTTTATACTTTTTTCTCGTGGCCTTTCCCTCGATGCATCTTGCATTAGCATATTTGGAACGTGCAATCGATGAAATGACATAACCATCCATCTTTTGATGTTATTTTGTGGGTATACTTTAAAGTCCCGTTTTCAAGTTCGAAAACTGCGTATGAGAATAGCATTCTACTTCTTCGGGTCCAATTTTTTTAAATTTGTCCCAGTACCTACTGAACAAAAAAATTGTAATAACTTGAAGCAAGATTGATATAAATCATACAAATTTTGGTTCTGTCTAAAAAATATGAAAAAAAAAGAAGTTACTTGGCACAGATAGGGATTGAAGTTTTACAGGAAAGTTCGATAGAAATAATAGATTTCTATTAAATTAGCCTGCTTCGAAAATTATCGATTACTTTACATAAATTCAAACTGACGAAAGAAAATGTTGTCAACTTCAGAGAATAGCCTGTGTCACACTTTCAAAACTAGTCATCAAAATATCAAGGCCAGGTGCTGTGATTGGCTTATTCGATGACTTGGCGACCAATCACAGCACTTGATCTTGACATTTTGATAGTATGACACAGGCTATTCAATATTGCCGATTACTCCTCAAGTGTAAGAGTATACTATGTAAATGTGCGTATTTGTGCATTTCTATATGAAATACTCCCGGGAAACTAGATTTCGGCCGAAAAGTTCCAGGAAGTTTTGGGAACGTCGCTGTTTACCAGCCAAAAAGTTTCTACTCGAACTCAGTCCTTTTTCAGTAAATAATGAATCGATCTTTTGCAAGATGACGTCAGTCCAGCAGAACTTTACAACGGACGTTCTTCACGGACAGTTTAACCTTATACGGAAGGACTAAAGAGAAAATATTCCAGAAAAGTTTCCTGAGGTTTACTGATTGAAAAAAAACTCTTCCTTTTTCCCCCAGGAAAATCTTGACGGGGAAAAAAGTGTTAGGGGACCTCCCTGAAAATTGGTGTACCACCCTAATTTGTTGGATGGTATGGACATTTCCAACCAATTGAGGCGGTACTGCAACTCAAGTTGTGGTAGTCTCGCAACATGTGGGTTAGCGACCTGATTTACTACCACAATGAATTGGGGTACAGAGACAATTATTTGGGGCACCACCACAATTCATTGGAAATGTCCATATCATCCAACAAACCCTTGCTCTTTTCTTTCCGTGTTCTTATTTCTCTTTCCGCACAAAACAGAATTATGTGCAGGTGAGAAATATGGGGTGTGCCCTAGAAAGCTGGATAAGAAACAATGTGGTCGGTAAGCGTGATTTCTTTTGAAGAATTGGAAAAGCGGGATTTTAAATTCTGCAAACAAGACATGTGGCAACTGAACGCGGGATGTATGAGCCGCGGGCATGGCACGAGAGCGTTGTGAACAGGGCTCATGAGTAAAGCGCACTACGAGGAGTCGCGACGACAGCATCCATCTCAGGTGACGTCACTGGCGCTTTATTATTCACATTCACTCTTATGGCCAGAGAACTGACGACTACACCCCATCTTTCTCACCTGCACATAAATCTATTTGATAGAAGGACGTCCAAATGGACCGCGTTAAACAGAAAGGAACCAAGCCACATCAGCTATTGCCAAATTTAACTGGGCAATTTAATTTATAACATGAAAACGATTGCGCGGATTTCCATGCAAATTTCAGTGAAAAATCTCCATAGCTTGAAGAAAATTCCATAATAATTTCAAAGGAATCCGCAGAAACGTTTTCTGGTAAAAAATTTAATCCCCCGGTTAAATTTGGCGATAGCTGATGTGGCTTGGTTCCTTTCTGTTAAACTCGGTCCAAATGTCCTAGATAAACGTAAAATTTGCAACGAATTTCGTTCCTCGTGCAAAAAATCGATTCAGTCGCGCAAAGGTATTTGAATAGAGATTTTGTAAAATATTTCACGCCCTAGGTGCTCTTTTACACCTTATCAATCGGCCACTTGGAACGAGCACCTTTCCCATTGGAGTCAACCCCCGTCACGAAATACTTCTCAATTTCGAGGAACGTTTTCCCGAGGGTCTCCGGCATGTAGAAATACACGAAGAACCCTTCGAGGGTCAAAATAATACTGAAAAACATGAAGAGCCCCCCGATGCCGAAAGTCTCCATGGTGAAGGGAAACACCTTGACGACGAGGAACATGAGGAAGTAGGCGTAGGAGATGAGGTAGCTGCCTCCCTTGGCCCGATGGCTCGACGGGATGAGCTCCCCGATCTGAGCCCACGGGATGACCAAGAGCCCGTAGGAGGAGAAGAGGAGGAAAACCAAGACGAGGGACATGGAAACGAGATCGTTCACCTCTTGGCCGAAGCAGCCGAAGAAGTAGAGCGAGAAGGCGAAGCCGGAGATGGCACTACCCGCGCAAGAGGAGAGTAGCAAGGGTCGCCGACCTATGGTCCGCGAGAGGCTGACTGCCAGGATACTCATGACGAAGCGGATGAGGCCGACACCGATGAGGGATTTGACTTTGAGATCCTGCCGCGATCCGTCCGTCGCCATGAGCGTTGAGTTGCCGATGAGGGATGCGAGGGTCGTCGTTTCCGTCGAGGGGTTCGTGGAGTTGGCGGAGGGTGAGATCTCGCCGGGGTCGCCGGTGATCGCCTGGAAGACCTCGAGGGCGTAGAATATGATCGGGTAGACTCCGCAGAGCTGTTGCATCGTGAACGTGACGCCCATTATGAGGAAGGGTACGTAGACTTGTCGGGAGCTCAGTGATGGGCGTGGGGTCCCCTCCATCTGCGCCTTCTGTTTCTTCCGGAACTGCTCGTCTAGGCTCTGCCATTCTTCCTCGAAAGACTGCAACATATGATAAACAGTTAGTTTGGGATCTATGGGTTTGTTGAACAGTGATGTGACAGTGAAATCATACACGGAGAAAGAAACTTCGTGCGTGGGACCCGAAGTTTAGGTCATATGGATCTCTGAAGTATTCGGATTGAGCATCTGAACACTTTAGGTCCAGCTGCTGAGGTTTGGATCACACATCTGAAACTTCAGTTCTTACATCTGAAGTATTTCGGTTTTCACATCCGAAAAACTTCGGTTCTCACATCTTGCTGACGTCGCGAATTCGGATCATCTTGTGTAATGTAAAGCGCGCCCGCCAGCGCAGCGCTGGCACCATAAATATCGCCTTCAACATCGAGGAGATACTTCAAACGTTACACCGTTACAGATGCGTTTCCACTTTGCGAATTGCCTGTACTGCGGCATGCTTAAGTGCACACCGTCTACCCGACGCACATTGGATCGAGTCAGTAGGAGAGGCCGGACAAAATGTGGAAACTTTTAACGCTTATAACTCCGTTAATACAAAATGTTGAGGTTCTAAAAGTGGTTTCATTGGTTTCTTCGTTAAATTTCCTTCTGTAACCGACCCGTAAAATTTAAAATGTGACGAAATAAACATAAAAATTTGCAGATTTCGTCGAAAATGTCTTGTTCGACCTCTCTGGTTTACTCGATCCATTGTGCGACGCCACCGTGCCAGTCAAGGAAGAACGCCGTATGAGCATTCAAGAGTTGCCAAATTTCCCTCAGTAAAATGTTTCTTTTTGAGGAAAGTTATGAATATTTTTCCTTGAAATTTTCAGGAAATTCGGATGAAATTGCGAACAAAATTATCTGAAAAATTGGAAGAAAAATGGTTACGAATTTTCCCAAAAATTGGTGATTTACTGAAAGAAAAGTTGGCAACATCTGAAGCAGGGCCGAATTTACCTACTTGCCGCTCATGGGCCGCCTGTATTTTGCCGCCCCCTTCTCATTCGTTTTGTAAGATCAATAAAAATCATCAAGTGAACGTGCCGAAGGGAAAAAGGTGCATTAGACGCGTTTACTCGTGTTGGACACATTTTTTGCGAAAGCCCCGTCAACACTACTAGCAAAAGCTCACGGAACTTTGCGCAAAAGTCAAGTTCCAAATACCCCTCTCTGAGAGGACAAGGACTCCCATTTAAGAGAAATTAACAAAAAAATTATGAAAGAACAAACATAAATGTGGTTTAATAATTTTAACTTCCGCCGCCGCGCTGCGCTGACCTTGTCTCTGCGCTGACCGCACTATGTTTGGCGCAATGCGTGAAGTACTCATCCAGTCTTGTAGGCGCTATGCGTTTCACGTCGACCGCTGCTGCCCACACTGCATTTGACGTAATGCGTGAAGTATTCATACAGTCTTGTAGGCGCTAATATGTGTTACATGCCGACCGCCGCGCCGAGGCGAGGGCTTCTCCTATTCATCTCAATGCTTCATCATCATTGCTCTCTGCGCCGCGCCGCGCCACTCCAGGCCAAATTGCGTGTTTGGTGTCTCTCTTAACTCGACTTATTGAAGGTGCTGTCTCTTGTATCATCGAAAAACGACAAAATTATAAATTACTACCTATACCTAATCTCAGGAAATGAAATATTTTGTCGCCTTATTTTCTCGTTTGTAATTTTTTTTCTGAATCAGATTTTTGTTTAAGTATGCCTACATTTAGGGGAAAATGTAAAGTTTGCCGCCCCCTAAATTTGCCGCCATGGGCCGCGGCCCATGTGGCCATCCCCTAAATCCGGCCCTGATCTGAGGGCTCATACGGCGATTTCCTCAGAACGACAGGGCAATCAGCGGATCGAGCGATCGAGCGCACCTGATTCTGCCCAAGTCTCTTCCTCCCGAACGCCAAGGGAGCTGGTTCATTGCTGCAGAATGACGCCCAATGGAGACTTTGCACGCAAACGTGTTGGCGCTTTATCTGGAAGTGCTTACAGAGCTGATTTCACAGTATTCTTAATGATTTTTTTCTGATATGGGAAATACTAAAAACATAGATTTAAACGTGAGAAAATGCCATAGAGTACATAGAGTCGTAATGTAAGTGGGAGAGCTGGCGCCATGTTTTGCTCGACGAGTTCCGAACCCGGTGTGCGGGTCACTTTTTCGATACATATTCGATCCAAAATGGCGGTTTGAAATATGACCGGGTCCCCGTGTATAGCAAACAATCGATTATGTATCGAAAAAGGGGCCCGGCGCCGCACAGGAATCTCAGAATTCGGGACCTGGAAAATGCTTAAAAGTGGCGCCAACGGCAACGAGGCAACGGCGCCAGCTCTCCCACTTGCATTACGACTCTATATACTCTATGGAAAATGCGCCGCCTAGTGACGTCATCTGGCGGCATTTCCCTTTTAAACACATGCTTTTTAGCAGATTAGATCATAATGTCACATATCTTCTCCAATAATTGTTCAATTTATGAACCAAGGGTATCCTCGTGTTCAGCTCACTTGGTAGCGTCTACTCAAACACGGAATCCATCAAATTTCAGACACCTGCAAATTCTTCATTTACCTCAATATTTTTGTTGAGGCGCATGAGGGCTCGCTTGGCCTTCTCGGGTCGTGTCCTGATGAGCCAGTGAGGAGACTCGGGTATTGTGAGGAGCAGGAGGAGGTTGAGGACGGCGATAGCGAGACAGAAGACGGAGAAGGACTTCCAGTGCATCCAGTAGCCGACAGACGTCACAAGAAGAACGCCGGTTGACAGGAGAACGCTGGCCAGGCCCAGGAACACAGAGCGCCAGTACTTGTTCGTCACCTCCGATACGTATACCACCCCGGCCGAAGTCAATCCTGGCATAGAAAAACGTATTAGTTTTTGGATAAAAAACTTACGCATCCATTGGTAAAAGAGCAATTGAAACATTAAATGGGCAGTGGTTCTTAGAAGTAAATTAAATGACATCAGCTGTAGCCGGTTTTTTGGAGCGGAGCATTGCGAGTTCACGCATCGCGCCTTCCATTTTTCAGATACAACATCCATCCAGCACGAATAGTTGTATCTCTGCGCCGTCATCAAAGAGAGCCCTTTCTTTTTTTCTTTTTTTTTTCATGTTATGCTGGCTTCGTTTGTCTAATTTGTAGTGGTGGTGCTTTGAAGGCTACGTGAGCAACACAGCTAATGTTTAACTTGGATTAAATTTGTTGGTCAAACTAGATATCGGGTAAAAAAAATTGGGTAAAGTGTCTAGCTACCATTCTGATGCTCTTTGATCTGCGATATTCACTGGGGATTTGCTCTTAGGTAAATCTCAGCGAGCCCCTTGGCTAAATCTCACGTACAAATACGTGCGATATACATACAAGCACGTTGTGAATACTTCAGATATTTGCCGGAAAATTCTCAGAATTCAGAAATCATCGATTGACCTATTGACTATCTAATGCTCCTTGTAAGAAGACCACAGTAATCAAGTTTAAATTTATAAACTTGCCTGAAAATATATACTGGATATAATAATAGATCTCTTCTTCATATAGGGAAGGAAAAAATTAGGTAACTTTTACAAGCAAATTTTATGTGCCTTTCGAAAGCCCCAATTTTGAATGGGGCTTACGAGCAAAGCGGGGTGAATCGTCAAGGAATGGCAGGCTCTTTGAATGAATTTGTTCGGCTGCAGCTCAAACGACCCATTCATTTTAATTAAAGCTCCAGTCTGGGCGATAATAAAAGCGACCCTTTCTGTCGAGGAGTGTGACCCAATCATTCGAGGGCAGAGCTACAGTCCCAGCGATGGAGCCAAACCCGGAAATAAAGAGCTACAGCGGGCTCCCAAGAGTCCACGAGCATTCTTGAAGCAAAAGTCGAGATTAAATGATGATTGAGCTTCGATAAGATGCGGCGAGGCCTTTCGTGCCGGCGTCTATCAATAGGAGTGGTTCAATATAGATGTATAATTTTATGATCGCTCACAGCGGCACACATTTTGCAGGAAGGGATCAAACTATAAGTTGGCATTGTATAATAAGTTTTTGACGCCATTAACGCGTTAGGTAAACGCTATTTGGTGCCCTCAAGAATAATAGAATTAAATCGCAAGTTATAATTTGCATTTGAAGTTATGTCACGAGCAATTGAAATCATGCGGCTCTAAAGCTTGCGAAGTGCCGAAAAACTTTTTTTTTCTTTTTTTTACCCAATAAGAAGTTCTTTTCAGTCAAAGCCCCACTTCTCCTCAGTTCCAACTGTAAAATCAGCCTCAGGCAAACATTGTTTGAGATCATCAAATCCGGGTCGCCTAGCCGGGAATTGAATCCAAGGCTTCTTGATCATAATACCAGCCAGTGGCGTGGCGTCAATTGCGATAAGTCGATATTCCCTCCATTTGAAGCTATGGAAGAGAATCTATTATTGAGGTATTCGTTGCGAACACCGTGTTTATCGATCATTTTCCATAGGTTTAAATGTTAGATCAATCGATATATAGCAATGCACGCCACGCCACTGATACCAGCGCTATACACCCATGACACCATCAAGGCCGTTTAGGTAAATTCCTTGTGGCCTGGTTACACGCTCAAAATTCCGTCAAATTCCGATCAAAATGATGATCAAGATGGCGGTCGAGAGGTATCTAGATTAATGAGTGAAATTAATTAAAACAGCGTGTTGATTGAAATAAGCATGAAATAAGCACGGTTGTGTGGAAATCAGACCACGGATAAGCCCCACAGTTCCATCATCTACCATCAAATTTTTGCAGGCCGCAGAAATTTGATGGTAGATGGTGCGTACCAGTCACCATTTGATCGGAAATTGATGGGATTTTGAGCGTGTAGCCAGCACATAGAAACTAGAGTAAGAAATGGAAAGTAGATCACCTCCAGCAACCCCGCTGAGAATTCGGGCGATGTACAAGAGCAGGAGGCTGAATTCGGGGGGCATGAAGACGAGAGCGGACCACGATGCAATGGCGACGCCACATGTCAGAATGCAAGTGGACCGACGCCCAAATTTGTCCATGAGCGGCCCCGATGACAAGGCGCCCACCGGGGTCCCAAACGCCACAAGGCTTGCTGAAAACACACAATTCCATCGTCTTTACGATTTCAGCTGGTACATAGGCGAGTTCTATAAGTTTAGTTCACTGGGGAAAAAAAAAAAAAAAAAAAAAAAAAAAAAAACACACACATCGGATCTAGAATCCAGACTCTTGAAAACATTGACAGGAAAAAGTACTCTTGATTCAATCGGAATTTTTCTTGAATCAAAACGAAATCCACTTAAATTAAGAGGCTTGGTTCTTGATTTAAGCTAGATTCTGATTAAATCAAGAGTACTTTTTCTTGTCGATGTTTTTAAGAGTCTGGACTCTAGATCCAATGTGTTTTTTTCCCCACTTTTTGTTGTATGAAGTTGTTAGGTCGGATTTATTTTTTCCTTAAAGGAACTTCGCCGAGTTTGTGGATGAAGTTATCTAACTATATCGGTGGCCAAAGTGACACGTCTCTCCATTACGGTGTTTCGAAATTTCCGATCTTATTTTATGCTCTTAAAAAGAAATAAACCAACCTCATGAATATTCTGTTGCCAGAAAGGAAAAAGCAAGGAGGTTTTCAAGAAATTGTGTTTAACGCAATGCGTGAAGTATTCATACAGCCTTGTAGGCGCTATGCGTTTCTCGCTGACCGCACTGTATTTAACGCAATGCGTGAAGTATTCATGCAGTTTTGTAGGTGCTATTAAGTTCACTATACTGCCGCGCTAAGGAAAAAAGCCGTATCAACATTTGGGAGTTGCCAAATTTCCTCCGATAAAATGTTTACTGTCGAGGAAAATTATCAATACTTTTCCTTGAAATTCTCAGACTTAGATCAAATTGCAAGCAAAACTGTCCGAGAAATTGGAAGAAATGTATTCACAAATTTTCTTGAAAATTAGCAATTTGTCAAAGGAAATTTGGCAACGCCTGAAGGTTCATACGTCGTTTTTCCTTAGCACGGCAGTATAGCTCTCCAAAGAAAGAAAGAAAGAAAGAAAGAAAGAAAGTAGTAGTAGTAAAATAATTTTATTTTAAAGAAAGAAAGAAAGAAAGAAAGAAAGTAGTAGTAGTAAAATAATTTTATTTTAAAGCGGTGCTTTAGCATCTAAGGCCATTTACACCCCTAAAGAGTAGTAGTAGTAGTAAAATAATTTTATTTTAAAGCGGTGCTTTAGCATCTAAGGCCATTTACACCTCTAAAGAGGGCAGTAACAATAATACATTTACATGGAAATATCAGTAAAAATACAAAAGGGTTGAGGGAAAGGTTAAATTTTGAGATTAGTGGAGCGCATAAATTCAAAAAGTTTCACAGGATGAGTATTCAGAAGTAAATTTTTAAGAGAGGGTAAGGGGTAGGGAAAAAAACGTTTTCGGATTTCTTTATAAAGTGGGCAACTTATAAGAACGTGATCTACCGTTAAGGGGTAGGGCAGTAATAGTAAAGAAAGAAAGAAAGAAAGAAAGAAAGTGTAGCTAGAAGTCTGCAACGTCGCAAACGGTGAAACGTGGATTCGCACTTTTTGGCAATGTCAATCGTAAAAAATTTTGTAGACAGAATATAGGTATTGGGTAGCGTCAAAATCGCCAGATCGAAATTAGACGAAATTTATTGTATGAAAAAGGAAATTTTTGTAAATAACGCATAAAGTAATTCCCGAAATTGAAACATTTTGCATAATAGATGATGCTACCCGGTCTACCTAATACCTAAGAATTGAAGGCAAAATGACATAATAAGTAATCTTTGAATCTCCCTTCGGGTGTCAATGCGACTTATTTCTGCCAAACGGACCTATGTGCATTATAACGTGAGCCCTGTTACACATATATTCCTATGGATCTCAGGGCTCATATCATAATGCACATAGTTCTGTTTGGCAGAAATACGTCCAGTTGTTCCTCCTCTGAATTTAAAGCTGAAACTAGCGAAATACATATTTGAGAATGCCTGGATAAGCAGCAGAATTTCAATATTTCCGTTGCCTCTTTCCCAATTTCCAAGACACTTTATAAAATGTCATATTGTCCTATCAGCCTATCAGCCTGCTTTGAATTTTTTTGGAATTTGAGTTGAATATTTTTTAAATTTCATTAGACTTAAACGTATAGTTACATTAATTAATCGCTTGTTTAGGTGAAATTCAATATTTTGTGAAAAATGCTGCTCAGAGGATAGACTTTATTTATGGGTAAAACGGAAATTCGACTCCTCATGGCGAACTATGCTGCAGCAGCTTAATTAATCTAGGAAGAATTTGAAGAATAAAATATGAGTCGGTCTGCCGCACTAAAGAAAAACGCCGCATGAACTTCCGTCACTTGCCAAGTTCCTTTAAATTGAATATGAATTTTTAGGAAAACTCGTGAATATTTTCGTTAAATTTTTCAGAGAATTTTCTTTGTAATCAAATCTAAATGGCCTGAAAATTTCAAGATAAAATATTTATAACTCTCCTCAAAAATAAACATTTCTTTGGAGGAAATTTGGCATCTCTTGAATTTTCATGCGGCGTTCTTCCATAGCACGGCAGTAATGAACCGCCTTAAAAGAGTCGTGGAGGAATCTAAAACCTCAGCAAAAGCAGCCATCGAGAAATTCCAATGAGACCTTTATGATATCAGGCATGGTATAGAAATAGAGCATTAAAATCGCGCCTGCAATAACATGACTTGGACTTCTTCATGACGGTGGTCTATCGTTTCAAACGAGAAGAAATTCCTCGTGGACATTGTTCAAGATGTTCCGCATTTTTCCTCTCATTAGTTCTAAACAATGAACCTTCATTCCAAGTTCGAACGATTAGCCGATCTAGATAGGCGACAAGGACTCTCTGAAAAATCATTTTCATTCTTGTTTGTGAAGAACCAGTCGCTATACTTGAGTCTGATGGTACAGAAAAATGATTCACCCAAGATCTAACTATTAGAACTTTGAGTAAAGTAATTTTGGGGCTTTTCGATGCCAAAATGGCCGTAGTTCTGCTAAACGGAACCAGAGACGTGCGGGAAATATGGGGTGTGCTCTAGAAAGCTGCGTAAAAAGCAGAGTGAAAGTAGACGTGATTCTTTCTAGGGAAATGGAAAAGTGGAATTTTACATTAAATGAAACGGAAGTGAGCGGCAAAACATGCGGCACTCATGCGCCGCACAATGGATCGAGGCATGTCAGAGGTCGGACATGATTTTAAAACTTTAAAAGCGAATATCTTCATGAATATGAAGTTTTGACGTTCTCAGAGTAGTTTCATCGGTTTTCTCTCAAAAAAATCACCCCTTCAATTAAAATTGTGGCAAGATAAGGTAAAATTTTACAATTTTTGTCAAAAATTTCATGTCCGACTTGTTCCAAAGACTCGTCCCACTGTGCGCCATGGGCATTTGACGAGAGCCTTTTGAACAGGGCTCATGAGTTCTGCCGTGCTAAAGAAGAACACCACATGAACATCCAAGAGTTACCAAATTTCCCTTCATTAAACATGTATTTTTGACGAAAGTCATGCACAGTTTTCTTTGAAATTTTCAGATATTTTAGATTAAATTGCGTACAAAATTGTCTAAAATTTTTGGAAAAAATATTCACAAATTTCTCAGTAAGTTCGGTTTTTATCGAAGGAAGCTTGGCAATACCTGAAGGCTCATACGACGTTCTCGTTCTTCCTCACCACGACAGAGTTGGAGAGCCACGATCCCGACATAATCCTCATCCCGGTCGTCGCCGCTGACGTCACTGGCGCTTTATAATTCCCATTCATTCTCAGGGCCCTCAACTGTCGAGCATACTCCATTTTAGCGGCTCTGGTGCTTGCACTAGAGCTGCTATTCCGGACGGTCCCAGCTGGGGAGTATCATTGGACCATGTTACATTGGAGAGACCGCGCGTTGGTTAATGGGAATCGGCGCCATTTTCGGCTATGTTCCTTGTCATGACTTTATTTTATTGCATATTGTTTTATTGTTAGCCAATGCTATGTTGTGTAGTGTATTTTTGGAATCATGGTGATACAGTCAATAATTCAAAACTTGTCTGTGCTTTAATCTGTGCTTAAAAATGTACTTTACGTTCAAAATTTGAAAATTTGAATTTTAAAGTTTTCGCGGTTAAGGAAGCTCCAACCACTGGGTTGGAGCTTCCTAGTCATATTACTCGATATCAGCTGATAGCAAACAAAGGTTACCAAGGAAACCGTAAACGTCTAATGCCGTCTGCCCACGTAGCAAATGGGAGGCGAAAATGGAAGTCATCATAGCATCGTTGAGTGTTGACGCCCGATCCCATTTTCAGACATGTTCACACGTTTTGCTTGCAAAGAAAAAAGGCGGCAAATCAATTTTTATTATTGGACCAATGAGTGTTCTCCAATTTGAGTTTGTAAACATCGTGGTTTCTAGGTTAGGTTTTTGGCTGTGTGATAAATGATATTATGCCGTCTTTGATTTTGTTAAAATGACTCGATATATGTTATTTGATAAACGATTGGAGTTTTGATAAAGTAAGTTGATTTGAATTAAAAATTGTGTCCTTAAAAAATGGATGATGAGGTGATTTGGTTAACATGGGCATTTGTGGTACTTGCGGCGTATTGGGAGTTTGTATGGAAACGACGTGGCAGTAGTCCACACTTTTTACAAGAAACTATTTTGTACAAAGTTCTGTACAAATTTTACACTATTTATACAGTAATATAATACAAAAAATTATGTACTTTATCACAACTCACATAGCTTCAATACAAGATAGAAAATGATGGATGCTCAGCCCCGACACATCGATGATCGCGAAATTTGCGCGGCCCGCGCAATTTTCACGTTCAACACTCACCGATGCACTGATGACTTCCATTTTCGCCTCCCATTTGCTACGTGGGCAGACGGCACACAACTACCGTGGCCATCGGGGCGATTATTGAAATGACATCGACTCTATGTCGCCGCTTACGACAAGACATAAAGCCCTATCTTAACCGTGTAATATATCGCAATTCGATATTCAAAACCATTACCTACAATTTCAGATATAAAAATGCAAATTTTTTGCAGCCTCGCTAAACGACTTATCAACCATGCATTCCAAAGTTTCTTATCACAGGAAAATATACAATCTAATAAATACAAAATAACCAAATATCTAAAAAGACAAAATTTCAGTTACAGTCAGTTTCAGTCTTATTGTTGCACAAACTAGTTATTTGACAAAAAAAGAAGATGATCACTCAATTGAAAGAAATTGGCGCCCAATCACAACGACAAGTTAAAAAAAATACTGTGGGAGAAATTTTTTAGGATGCGGACCTCCAAAGAGCCTTCAAAATTAAAAGTATACAACAAGTGATAGTGCCATGCATTCTGCATATCAAGGGCCAATACACATTTATACACCGGCCACGTAAATCTGCTAAGTTACAAAACATGAATCGACAGTTGTCGGATTGTACATCAGTGACAAAATGTGTCTAGGCCCTCATTCTTGACTACAACTACTGTCGCCAGAGCCGCTCTCCGACGCGAATGCGTTGGAGCTTCCTGCTTGTTTTCCCTCCTGTCTCTGAGTCATTTTAGCAGGAATGCGTCCAAATGTCCGTAAACTACTCATCGTAACAGGTGCATCAATTTTGAGTATTTCGGTTCTTGGACCCCTCTCACAAATGGTTGAATAAAAAATGGAAAACTGGTGCCCTTACCAATCCATGAATTTTGTTCGTCTGATACTAAATGTTTGATCTGTGGATGTAAGATCGTTGAGAAGCCCATTCCTACGCCGGGATGAATCAACATGCTCAGGGCCACCAAACTGACAAATCCCTAAAAAATGAGAAAAGCATGATAATGATAACTGCATTGAAAAATCTTGAAAAGTCCCTGTTACTGGAACCTAAGGAATTAAATGTAATTTAATGGTACCAATTGAGAATATGTGCATACATTTTTATTGCTTCATCTGAAAGTGTTTAAAAAGCTGCTTTCGCTGTATTAATTCACTGCAATAATTTTTTTCTCACATGGGAAATAGTATAAAAGTAGTAGATTTAAAAGTGAGAAAATTAACCGACTTGTGACGTCATCTGGCGGCAATTTCCATTGAAACACATGTATTTTAGCGGATTAGATCATTTTGTCATATCTTCTAGGGCAATACTTCAATTTATAAACCATGGATATTCACGTATTCAGTTCACGTGTTCAAATTTCCGACACGTGCAAATTGTTCACACGGAAAAAATTAAGTTGCTGATTTAACAATTCAATCATTGAAAAAATTGACTGCAATGTTTCAATGTAGATTTTACAACAAAAAAAAGGCTACATTAACCAACCACTAAAGTAGCTCACAATAGTGGTTAAAGTAGCATTTTTTTGTTGTAAAATCTACGTTGAGACGTTGCAGTCACTTTTTTTACCAATTTAATTGTTAAATTAGCAATTTAGTTTTTTTCGTGCGCTGAAAAAAATTGCCTCCGTGGAGTAATTCTAGAGTCTCTCTTTCTGCGGGTGTCATGAAATAATCTAGCTGATTTTGTTCGTGACCCACGTCTTTGAAAATTCTGACACGATCCCTTGACTTTCCATTTTATCTGCTCGTGTTACGGTCATTGAGAAAGCGAGCTGATCGGTTGTGCTCACAGGTCTGGATACCGGATAGCTCACATATTTGTATTTGTATTGCAGCTCATGTGTCCGCGGGTCATAGACCTCGATTCTGCGTAGTCTCATCAACGAAGATTATTAATGCTGTTGATTCTCAGAGACAAAAATGGGAGTTGCGACCAGGCAGTGAGCTTTCCTGTAACCTTCATTGCTGCCGTATGAAGCAAGAAAGCCATCACTCCATTATACTGAAAATATTTTTTTCATTTCTCCTCAAGGAATTGATTCGCGGTCGCTTGATATATACGATGAAGATACCAGGTTTGTTGTGTACTAGGACGTCACGAGTTTACCGGATTCGTTCTCGCGTAAAATTGAAAGCTTTGAATGGGTCGGTTCCCAAAAGAACTTTTTTGGGTTTGGGAGGTGATTTCAAGATCTTTTAATAGCGCCATCGTTCTTTTCGAGAATGCTAGAGTACCTGTATAGCGAGAGTATAGACAGATGTGAAACCCCGAAAATCCATCAGGCCTTCATCGATGCCTCCGCGAACAAAGTTAGGGCCCAGAAATGCTGACAACCTATGCATTTCAATTATCCAGAGCGATTTATCAATACAATTGTTACGAACCATCGTTTATAAAGCATGTATTTGACTTAGTTTTTGCATAAATTTATTCATTTTTTCGGAAGAACGCTCATTTATGTACATCCTTAGCCATCTTGGTTAGAATTGGAATCTGCAGACTGGTAGTGAAATTTTGTGGGTTAAAAGTTGTTTAGAAGGGTGGCTGCACTTTTGGGCCCTAAGACCCCCATGAAGCGACCTGTCCATACTCTCGCTATACAGGTACTCTAGTGAATGCCACAGGAATCAGTCATAAATTCGCAAATCCCCGTACCTTGCAACAGGCCAATTACACAGGATAAATTGTGATGTCTTATATTCGAAATTATGAAAGACTCTGTTGTATTCGTCGATCTTTACCGATTGATTCTGCCTGTTAACCATATTGTAGGCAAGAATAAACTCGGACAATTGATTTTCGTCCGTCACACCCGTGAAATTTTGAGTCCGCGTCACCACACATGTTTTTTCCAGCACTCTCTATCAGGTGTCATCTAAAAAATTCAGCACAAACCGACGACGTCTGTCTATGGAAACCTGGTCGGCCAAATTGGCTTTGCTTGCTGCACTTACAATGCAAATCAATTATGCAAGTGACATTGTTACACACTGACCCTCACCGAAGGGCATGATCGATTGACTAATGGTTCTCACTTTGCAAAAAACGAGGTCCTAACGGCAAGCAATCAATCGCACTGCAACGCGATTGCCACAAATTATTATCTCACCCGCATCCTTCTACTTTACGGTTTTTTTATGGCCTGCTCTGTCCTGCACTGCATTGCTAAGGAAAAACGTCGTATGGGCATTTGAGAGTTGCCACATTTCCTCCATAAAATGTTTATTTTTGAGGAAAGCTGTGAATATTTGTTCTCGTGATGTTCAGAAACGCTAGGTAAAATTGCAAACAACATTTTCTGAAAAATTGGAAGAAATATATTCACAAGTTTACCAGCAAATTCTTGATTTATCGAAGGAAATTTAGCACCACCTGAAGGTTCATACGGTGTTCTTCCTTAGCACAGCAATAGTGTAGTTTATGTACCTAGCCGTCGCAAATAAAGAGGAGAGTCAAGCATTTCGTCCAATAAAGCCTCTCTGAGGATAGTTTAGATGGGGTAAATATTTAAAAGTCCAATCAAGTTTTGCATATTTTTGAAACAAATGTTCCATTTTCATTAAATTGGAGTTTAATTTTCATGTAATTTAATGAGACTACAATTTTTTCTTAAATTTTAGATTAAAAACGTACCTCGTCGCTTTTGCGTTCGAGACTTTTGATATTCGGTATTTCACAAATAATTACAAAAGGAAATGTAAAATTAATGGTCATTTTACAGCCAAAAACCGATTGTACAAATCTGTAATCAATATACAAATCGCATGGATCCTTATGACGGAACGAAAGTTCGAACTAACTTTTTGGTGCTTAAAAATTGGAATTTGAGAGCGATTTTTTACAGCATATGCATTAATACTAGTTTTACTTGAAATCATTAATATCTCAATTTCCTTAAAAACTGCACTTATGCGCCTTGTCCTCCAAGCACTTCATATATAATGCGACTTTTCATATCCGGTGAATGTATATAATAATTTTCACGCAATAATACGATTTAAAAATTTAAAAGGTAAACAAAACTAATTAAATTGTACGGTTGTATGGTTTTATCATTTTACCGGATGGATCAAGGTAATAAAAAGAATTACTTTATTTTGGTGTAATCTCTATTGAAATGGGCCTGTTGCAAACTTTTGCTAGAGCAAAACTAAGAGTTGTTTCTTACAGATAATGCCTCATAAATCACGATGAGCGCATCGGCAAAGTCTGAAATTCACTCATAACTTCACAATCTGCGTAAGAAATTTGCGGTTTTTTGAGCTTCCCGCTTTAAAGACGATACTACGGTACAGGTAAACATTTCATTAGAGGAGTCGTTCCATTGGCGGCAATACTTATCATGGCCGACGCCAGTCCGCCAAAACACGTGTGATGGGACAAGATAACACCTGAACAGGATTAAACCAGGTAACAATCGGCGTGTTTACGTTCATATTTTCCTCGCCCGCCTTAATTGACCTTGAACTCTCCTCGAATTACGCGAGGAACTGCGCAAGCGTCGGCCATGATGAATATTGCCGACGATGGAGCGACTCCTCTAACAAAATGTTCACCTGTGCAGTAGTATCGTTTTTGAAGCGGGAAGCTCAAAATAACGCAAATTTCTTACGCAGATTGTGAATTTATGAGTGCATTTCAGACTTTGCCGATGCGCTCATCATGATTTTTGAGGCATTATCTACAGGAAACAACTCTCCATTCTGCTCTAGCAAAAGTTTGCAACAGGTCCATTCTAAATACCTAAATTCCTGTTAATTACGCTCTGTAGGATGTCATGAGAAGAAAACTAATGGAAAAATATTTGTAACTCTATGAATAGACGAGCAAAGGAATGCTGTGAAGTAATTTTCGAATTGATAACACTTGGAGCAACTGGACCTATACAGCTACATCATATTTATGCATTTTTATGGAAGAACTCATTTTTTTTTCACGAGCTAGATTCAATCTGATTCTTTGAGTCATGCCACTCAAAATAAAATATATATAAAGCGCAAAGTGAGAGAAATTCAGAGGAATGCAATGGAACGAACCTGATAAAAACCATCTCTCCATGTGTGATCTGAAGTGACAGCTCCATTTTTTTCTGCGGCCCTGAAACATGATCAATGCGATTAAAACTACAAAAAAGGTACATAAATTTTAACAATCTATACATATATATTCCCACAATATAGTTAGTTAGTTAGTTATTATAATTTTGAGACATTCAGCGACTCAGGCTATTAACGTCTTTACAGGTAATTTTGAAAATAGGAGTATAAACGAAAATTTAGATTTTTAAATTAAGAGAGGTGAAGAGTTTCAGAATTTTGGTGGCAATATTAGGTTCATCGCATGTAAGAGGGTTTGTATTTCTGTTGATTGTAGGGGAGTAGATCTGTGATTGGAGATATCGGAGGGAAGAGCAGTCCATAAGTATGTGTTTGATGGTTAGAGGTGATGAATTGCAGAAGTGGCAGGTGGGTTGGTTTTCTTTAGATATGATATGATTGTGAGTGAAAAAAGTGTGACCTATCCTGAGACGCGCAATTTGGACTTCACATGATCTTGATTTGTGGTTAGATGTTCTTGGATAGCCACCAAATTAGTGATATAATCGTATGTGGACAATGACTATGACCAGGACTATGACAATCAAAAGAAAACAACTGGAGGGTAGCCTATGTGTAGTAAGTATTACACTGGAGCATTCACTGGCGCTCTACGCCTAGGGATTCAGGGTTACCCAACAAAAAAAAAGTGATCCTAACGCATTGATAGTTCGCTTACAATTTCCAGTGTAGGCAACTCTAGCTCCGCCGTGATCGAATAGTGGTATCATCGTGAATGCCGAGTTGACTTAAAGCAGACAAAAAATCCTCTCACAAAACGTGAAAAGGTGATCCTAACGCATTATAGTTCGCCTTAAATTGACTGGGTAGGCAACACGAGCTCCGCTGTGGTTGAATAGTAGTATCACGTAAATGTCACGTTTATTTAGAACAAGCAGGCAATACCCTTTTATCACGAGGGCTACATTTTGCAATTAGGAACAACAACTCTGGATCAGTTTAAGAACAACGTATGTACTATTTTTTTCTCTTTGCACATACATGTTTTTACGGATGAGCCAGAACTTGTAGTTCTTAATTGCAAAGTGAAGACCACAGGAGGGGCCTGGAGGACAAGGCGCACAAGTGCAGTTTTTACCATTTCGAGAAATGCGTGTTTGAGGTTTCGAAATTACACGGATCCTTATAGCGGTGAGAAAATTCACACTGACTTTTTGATGCTTAAAACATGGAATTTGGGAGCGAACTGTTCACAGATTATGCACTAAAACTATAGTTTTACTTGAAATAATGAATATCTCGATTTTTTCAAAAACTGCACTTATGCGCCTTGTCCTCTAAGCGCCTCATTTGCGTTGAGGTGATTCTGACGTGCGAATCGTACCGGAACCCGGAACCCGGAACCCAAGACCAGCCTTTGATGAAACTAGGGCGCTTAATTCATTGGTGCATTGATCAAAAGCAATGTCAATTCCAGAAACCTATCGATTTGACGTAGACAAATTCGCAAAAACTCGGATTTCAATAAAAAACAAGCAGTGAACTCCAACACAATGTGTTGATAAGGCGCGTCATTAACTCGCACATATCAACCCCTTTAGTTTTCATTTACAGAGATTTCAAAATAGGCAAACAGCATAAAAAGAGAATTCACGATCCAACACTGCGAGGTCAAAGACGCACCTTGACGAGACCGTGTATTGTGAAAGTAGAAAGCTATTCGATCGAATTTAAGTTTTTTGATCTNTTTTCGGTAAGGAACTAGGGGACTCGGTTATTGTATCGAGGGGGGGGTCGAAACGATCGCAAAGGCGGTATACTACGTATACGCGCCAAAAACCTTCTATGTTCTATGGAAAATTGAGGAAATCTATATGCAACGAATAAGTATATAGACTTTTTGACGTGGAATCTCAATTCTACGTGTAAAAATAGTTAAGTCTTGGTATGTTGAACATGTGTGAGACATTTTAAAGGGGTGAAAAATGCTCGCAATCCTCCAAATTGCTCGAAAAAAGGAGGGAGGAAGAATGAGAGAAGGAAGGGAAGGGACGGAGAAAAGAGGAAGGAAGAAAGCTTATATTGTGTCATTATTCATGACGAAATTGACTCAAGCTGCATATTAAATGCTTTAACATTTCGAAAATTTGCTTGGGAAAGCCCCCTTGAGCGTCCTCTTGCCCCTGTGTCCGAAATGTGTGGATCCGCACTGGAAAAAAAAATCGCTTGGATCTAGAGTCCAGACTCTTAAAAACATGGACAAGAAAAAATACTCCTGATTTAATTGGACTCTTTGCTTGAATCAAAAGGAAATTCGTCCCATATGTGCCTAAATTTATTTTATTTAAATTTATTTTTTATTTACTTGTTGTTTTTGACGTTATGTAGACAGAGTGGACACGTGCAGTGCCGGATTTAGGGAGTGACCAAATGGGCTGCGGCCCATGGAGGCAAAAGGGAGCGGCAAATTTTGTAATTTTTTTAAATGTAGCTATAAAGAAAAATCGGATTCAGAAAAAAAATACAAACGAGAAAAGATGACAAAACCTCTCATTTCCCGAGAGTATATCTGTAATTTTGTCGTCTTTCTGTAATAAAATAGACAGCACCTTTAATTATTCGAGTTAAGACTAAGAGAAAAACCGAACACGGAATTTGGCCTGGGACGGCGCGGCGCAGAGAACAATGATGACGAGAACTTGAGATGAAAAGGAGAAACCCTCGACGCGGCGGTCAGCATGAAACATATTAGCGCCTACAAAACTGCATGAATACTTCACGCATAGCGTCAAAGACAGTGCGGTCGCTGCGGTCAGCAGCGGGTGGCGTGAAACGCATAGCGCTTACAAGACTGCATGAATACCTCACGCATTGCGTCAAATACAGTGTGGTCAGCGCGGCTCGGCGGCGGAAGTTAAACTTATTAAACCACATTTATGTCTGTTCTTTCATAATTTTTTCGTTCATTTCATTTAAATGGAAGGCCTTGTACACACAGAGATAGGTTTACGGAACTTAACTTTCGCGCCGAGTTCCGGGAACTTTTGCTGGTAGTGTTGACAGGGCTTTCGCAAAAAAATGTGTCTAACACGAGTAAACGCGTCTTATGCAACTCTCCCCCTCCGGCACGTTCACCTGGTGGTTTTTATTGATGTTTCAAAATGAATGAGAAAGGGGCGGCAAAATACAGGCGGCCCAGGGGCGGCAAGTAAGTAAATCCGGACCTGGACACGTGTTGAGGCAGAACAAAAATATAAGAGGCTTGTCTATATCCCAGACATGAATTATACTGTGTTGAACACATGAAATTCCCTATTTTAGACTAACATTAAAAGTCAAAAACTGCGATGGGTCGTTAACGACCCAATGGGCATATATGGGTTTTAAGGAAAAATCGAATTGAATCAAGAGTATTTTCCCTTGTCAATGTTATTAAGAGCCTGGACTCCAGATCCAAGCGACTTTTTTTTTTCCAAAGCGCCCACGGAGACAACTTTTTTGCGGGGGTCAGACATTTGATATGAAAAGTCGAAAAATAAAAACCCCCTATTGCATCAGGAAATGCCAACGACCAAAGCTTGCAAATTCCGACGTCCGACTTGGCACGGCTGTGTGTTAGAGCCGTGTATACAGAGTGTGACATGGTGACACGGTGGCTAACAATAAGCGATGTACGATTTCTATGCATGGCTATTTATCTGATCCCCGGGGCCAGTGGCGTGGCAGGAATTGCGATACATCGATTCTTATGCCATTCAAACCTATGGTACAGAATCGATTATCAAGGTGTTCGCTACGAACACCCCGTTTATCGATCCTTTTCCATAGTTTAAGTGGCATAACAATCGATATATCGCAGAGCACGCCACGCCACTGCCCGGGGCCCGGGCTTGGGCCAAGCATCAGATGAACCCGCGCAGACGGAAACTACACGGAAACCCGCGTTCACAGTGTTAACTCGATCCAACTTCCGCTGAAACAGCCTCACTCAGGGTCGCTCCAGCTCTTCATTCGTTTATCAAAGCGTGGCGTACTTGCGATATATCGATATTTCCTCATTCGAGGCTATGGTAAAGAATCGATCATTCAGCTGTTCGTTGCTAACACCCTGATAATCGATCCTTTTACACAGGTCTGAATGGCAGATCAATCGATATATCGCAAAGCACGCCACGTCACTGTCGTTTACCACTTTGCAGGAACCTCAGGAGGGACATTAGATGCTCTTTTCAGTTTTATATCATTTTTATGAGCACGTCAATGTCTTTTTCCAGAGGAGTTTGGATCGGAAAGATACGAGACGAGTTTACTCGTGAGAGCATTGACGAATCTTAACATCGGCTTTAGATCGGAAACTCTGTCTTAGATCAACGGAGAAGCAAAGGGATAGGTAGCCAACGTACAAGACCACGTATCTCTATTTTAATGTTTTAAGATGTCGGCTCCTCTTTTATTTTTTAATTTGCTATAGCTAAGCCAAAGCGTCAAGATTGAAGTTGCCAGATTTTTTTATTACAGAGACTGTCATGATAACGTTTAGCGCGCGATGTGAATCACGTAGAGCATTGAGTTTTCATGAGCTGGTGGTTTCAATTTACGCACCAAGAATCATTAAATATCTTCGGAAGGAGTTAATTTAGGTAATTTTCGTTGTGTGCATCGTGTTTTACGTGAAATTTTGGTGAAGAAACATGTATCAGAATGCTGAAATTCATACCTTATGTGTATGTCTACTGGTCCATTGACTCGAAGAATTCGATTTTTCACAAGATTGTGCCTGTGTAATTTGTGTCCAAATTTTGTCTGATTTTCGTACGAGATCAGAAGAAAAATCAGTGAAATCTTCAGTTAGAAATACCTAAGATTCTCACGATGAAAATGCAATTTGCGAGGGAAAATTTAGCAACATTGAACTATAACGTTCTTTCGTGAGGAAAACGACGAGTTATGGGTTAGATTTCCGTTTCCTCTTGAAAAGTATAGGCCAGAAATATGAAAACGTCGCAATCGAAATGCATAATTTCGCAGTTCCACCAACAT